CTCAGGCTCGAGTGCTTTAGAGAGGGAACCTCCAGAGCACTCTATCTTAGAGGTTTGTGTGACGAAAAACGCAAAAAGACTTCCCACTCTCATTTTCGAACTGTGCGTTTTCCACGTCCCCCTGCCCTGGGAAGCGTACACGACTTCCCAGGCTCAAGCATTGGGGTAGAGCGGAACAACTTTACATAAACATGCAGTGACGAATTAGGGAGTGTCATATCTGCCAGTTGTGCTAACCCGTCGTTTAAGTATATACGGGCAGTTTTGGAGGCGGCCCACCGCCCTTGGACAAGCAGTCGATCGAATGATCCGTGTTGGTTAAACCAAAACGTAGCCCCACCTCTCCTGAGGCTGTAGGGTCTGAATCTAAGGGTGTCAAACGCAATGCTTCTAGAGCATTGTTGAACAGGGTACGCCAGGCATGTGGCTTAGCTGTTAAAAATTCAACAGGACGAGCACGCTGTTTCCAGCGGTACAGCGCTCCAAGCACGGACTCCTCGTGCAGTGTAATGCTCTCAGCTGCTCCCTGCCGAGCACCTGCCTTAGTCAACCCTAAGGACAGAACAGCTGGACCCTTGGGAGAAGGAATAAAGACGTCTTTCGCTTGTAAGGTCAAAAGTTCTCCTGTGCGCAGCAAACCGAAGAAGGCAACCCGCAAGGACAAGGCCATAAGGGGCATCTCTTTCATGATGAACCAGCCACACATAGCATCCAAAACTAGAAGCGTCATAGGAGGGGCACGCCGAGGAACCTCTGCAGTGGACCATGCTTTCAACAACCTCCAGCTCCCGGCAAGGCGGCGCTTAAGCCCGGGCTCTTTGTCTTGTAGGGCGGCAAGGGTATTGTTCGCCACGGATTTGCTCTCTCCTGTTGCCCAGAGGAACTCAAGGTAGTCAGAGACGACATGGTCCATGGCCTGCGCGCGCTTTGGGAGGGCAAGGCCCTCCCCTGCCAACCAATCCACAAATTTGTCAAGACAAGTCTGATAACGTTCACGTGTTCGAGGTTGTACCGTCAAGCCCTTCAAACTTCCAAGCTGCTTCCTGACTTTGATGCGCTGTTGTTGACTACGGCCTTCCATCACTTTTGCGGCTTTCTTACCCATTTTCGTCGAATAGGCCGCCGCGAGGGGCGGTCCGCTGGGTTCTGGTGCGTATCCACATAGGACCACGCACCCACTGAGCCGCTTGCCAACAACAACGCGCCAATCTTTGCCAGGGTTCGCCGGAGCTTTCGACTAGACGACCTCCCTCGTGAGAGGGCGTGCAACACAACCAAGGAATCAACAAGATGCACAAATCGCACCGGCCCTTCATGCAACTCTTTGATACGCCAAATGAGACTAGTCTTGACCGCCCTTAGTTCCAGGGCATTTATGTGCTCAGGATCACCAGTCCACCTCCAACCAATGACATCACGCCAGCGCCACAACTTGCTTGGGAGGGAGGCTCGTAGCCGATGGTACCGCGCCGGAATGTCCGAACCCATCTGTAAGAGAATGTCCTCCCCTTTGACCGAAACCTGCCCCAACAACTTGCGGACAAGGCCTGTCCCCGGTTGCGTCGCCCGGGTGTCGTGGCGAATGGGGGCACGCAACAACAACCCTGCAAGGTCCGCAGAACAGCCTGGCACCAGCCGATCGACAATGTCCTGAATACTCAGCCGCGGCATCCAACCCAACAAACGAAACAAGGAATAAAGCAATACGCAGACAACTGGGACCGACCAAGAATTCCAGCGGGCGATAGCGTCCGGCGGGCAGAGCGACAACCCGGCCGGTTTGCGCCCTGGCTTCAAAGAGGGCCTAGCCGTCGTGAATGTTGGGAAACAACCATCTTCATTCACCCGTTTCCACCCTGCCTCGAGGAAGTCATCAGCGGTGACCTGTGCGCTGAGAAATATGTGCCCTCGCACTGGGAGGCCCCGGGCTCTCCCCTCTACAATATTGCACCCATCTTGTGGCAGAATATCCCAATCACACCAGTAGAGCCGGGGCCGCCTGGCCAATGAAATGCCTCCAGCGTCCACAAGCCATGGTTCCATGTGATAGGCACTATTCATCGCCTCACAATCGTGCTCGTCCATCGAGGCCACGTTCTCAATCAACCGGTAAGTAGGGCACCACCGAAATACCTTCTTCGCTAGAGCCTCTATCCGTGGGACTTCTTGGAACAAGGAGGACCTAGCATCCCGCATTGCACCCTTGCGATCTGCGTTTAGCCCTGATACACCTTGACATGGTGGTCCAGCGCCTAAGATCACCATGGACACCGACGTGAACCTCAGTGACCACTCTGCCACCATCTCTAAATCAACCTGTGCAACATCTTGGATTCTGATAACGTCAGGGAAAAAAGGACTCGACAACCCTACTGGCGGCATCGTCAATCTCCACCGAGATGTATCCCGCAACGGGGACCCTCAGGCAGTCCAAGGCCACCCTTAGGGCACCGATCCCATCAAACAAGGAAACGACAAGGACCTGGTCCATCTCGTCGGGGTTCAAGACATCTCCGCGAGCCTCAGCCTGAGACGCGGCCAAGCCATAAGGGCTGACTCCCCTTGATACACACAAGCCACCTCCAGTCGTGGAAGCATCGCTTGCTGTGACGTGTTCGGATACTGGGAGTCTAAAGTTCATGAATGCCAGTGGACTGAGTGAGACAAACCGGATCAACTCGAGCTCCACATCCTTTCCCAAAGGTTGTCTGACGTGGCTGCCCAACTCCTTCATGCTGGTGATCTTTCTCCAGATTGCATTAAGCCCAGAGAGCAAGGGTCGCCGGAACATGGCAATGTAAACAAAGCCTCCACCTATCACCTGTAGTTCCCTCATGGTTGCCTTCCCTGAAACAACTGCCTGACATGCCAGCCCCAAGTAGCGTGCCACCTTGGAATGCTTGGGAGCTGCCGCGCCTTTGCTCCCATCAACCCATGCACCCTGCACTTCGGCCACACCGGCCTGCTCCACTGCTTTCTTTGGATGTCGTGGTAGTCCTAGAGTGGTGTAGGTCTCCCGAAAAGCCAACGTCCAATCCGATGGTGTGCCCTCAATCAACCCCGCAACTCTCCGGTCCACCTTTTGCAACTCATCGAAGTTGTCGAGGTACACCCGGAACAAATGGTCTGCCCTGCTGCTAGTGCGATCTCGCCTAATTTCCTGGTGCCTGGTGGCTAGCCTCGTGTCAGCATGCAGTGCTTGAGAGATGACACGTCGATGCACGTGCTGAGCTATTGCGACAGAGTTCACAAACCCCATGGGCAAGACTTTGGTGACAAGGTGCCTCCCAGGTCCATCATGCCCCACTGGGAGTGCTTCGGAGGGCACCTCCCTTGCAAAGCCCATATACCGCCACCACGACTGAGGGGTTTGGAAAAGGTAAAAGAAACACCGTATATCTTCAGACGAGGTCAGTAGCAGCTGGTCATCTTCAAGGATGATGGAAGACAGCCCCACCACTGTTGGCAAAGTACATGTGTCCCCGACGAGGTTACGGCTGATCGAGTTGGTAGGAACCAAATTCATAATCAATCTACAAACATCGAACTCAACCCCGTCAGGACCAACCCCTTTTTCCCCTTTTTCAACGGCAAACAGGCCGTTCATCAAAGGGCGTCCACAAATATGGTGCAGCTCATCCCGCTTCATCACCCCACAGACTCCCCGCTCAACCAATCCACGGCAGACCTCGGCCCAGTCGCAGTGGTCCACCATGATCGCGGGAGTCTTTCCAATGAACTGATCCTGAGGCGGGAGCAGGCACTTCTCGAAATTGAGCACGTACTCGAGGGTTCCTTGTTCGCAGAAATCTGTCAACCTCAAACTTCCTACACCCTGGGGTAATGCAGCCTCCACCATCTGCCAAGTGAAACGACGAGCGACTTTGACCTCCTCCCCTCAATAATCTAATGTCTTCGTCCGGAAGAACTCCTGAAACGGAAGGTGGTCCCACTTTTCGCCCAGTAGACTGCACTCCACAAGAACCTTCTCCAGTTGATGTACCAGCTCACGGCTCACTTTCCTGGGGTTACCCTTAGAACGGCTTCTCGACCCAGCAAGTAGGTTCAGCCCACGAATCATTGCCTCAAGGAAGGGGATGTGGTGACCGGACAACCCTAGATCTGATGGAAGGGGGGAGGGGAAAGATCCCCTCCGAGGACTGTCCGCAACGCGTGTTCACATGTAGTTCAAACACTTCCATCAGTTTGGCTAAGGTCTCCCCCACATCTCCCACGACTGCTGAGTCATTCTGGCACTTGTTTTTGAGCAACAGGCGTAATTTCTCGAAGTCCTCAACTCCTGCTCTGACACTCCTCTGCCCCAAAATGGGGTCATGTTGAACTCGGGCTGCACCCCTCGGCACGGCATCAAAGCCAGTCGAGGACTCGATGTGGGGAAATTCGCAAAAGCTCAGCCTCCGGACGGCACTCCATCAAACGCTGTCGCCCAGAGTCTTTCCCTCTTCTCTGGGAGCCCTCGCCTCGCTCCCCTACCTCCTGCGGCCGGCTGCCAAGACCATCCTCAGCTTGAATCCTCATCTGCACTGGGAGGCGACCCATGCCTGCCTCCCTTGCATCCGAATCCTCAAACTGGGAGGACCCCAGGCAGTCCGTCCCATCCTCAGCCTCTGCAACGCCGGCCCGGCCCGGAGCAAACTCTGGATTTTTCTCAACAGCAGTTGCTCCCCCAGGCTCATACTTCCTTGCCCTCTCTTGGCAATCTCGCAGAAGCTCCTCTATCGCTTCCACGTCCTCAGCCTCTGACCTTGCCTCTTCTGCCTGAGTACCTGTCTCTTGCCATTGCACTTTTCGCATCTTTTTTCTTTCTCTGTTTGGCGACTTTCCTCTGCTACCTCCTGACCTTTCCTCTGATCCTTTTGCTATTCCTTCTTCAGTCCTCCCGGCCTCTATCCTTCGGTCTTTCCTTTCTTTTCCCATTTGCCTTTACCTTTTTTCCCCTTCTCTCCTCTGTCTCTGTAGGCCGGTTCTGAAGATGGAACAGCTTTACCTCGACTCTTTCCTTCATTGTCGCCCTTTCTTCCCATCCCGTGGGGGCCTTGCCGCCTCATAGCTCTCGCCTGCCTCCGCCATGGCAACCTGGTCGGCCCCGACAAGCTCTAATTGGCGGGATACTGTGTAGTGCCCACCCTTGAGGGTGGCCTCAAGGGACTTGGCCCTCTGGACCAAGATGTCCAGCGCGCTTGCAATCTTGCGCCGGAGGATGAGATCGCTCGCCTGAGCTATAGTGTTCATCTCTTGCCAGAGAACTGGTGATGCAAGTGGCTTTAAGTGTTGATGTGCATAAATGGCAAAGATGGGAGCCAACTGCTCCCTTGAGCTGCTGTAAAGGTCTCATCAGGTGCTCTCTCATATTCTCCAGTGCTTGCATGGTCAGAGCGCCCGGATAGTGGGCATGGAGTCGCTTGACTCTCCTCGTTTCCTCGAAGAGCGGCGCATCAGCGTCAGAACCCTCCTCCTCCGATGTGTCTGTAGAGCTGCTCTCTGCGTCCTCTGAACTGCTTGATCGCTTTCGCTTCTTGTCGGACTTTGCCTTCAACTTCCGAGCTCTCTTCATCAGCCTCCTCCTGCGACTCACATTGGGGTCCAGGCACGTCCCACGGAAGATTGCTCGCGCCGTCTTCTGACCCCTCTCCAAAACCTCATCACGCTCCTGAGCCTCAAGCTTCTCTTCCCATTCCTTCTCTGCCTTCCTCTCCTTTACCTTCTTCTTCTTCTTGTCTTTTTCCTTTCCAGCTTTCTTCTCAACTTCAACCTCCTCGGCCCCGGCCTCCTTGGCCTTGGGAGGCTTCTCGCCTCCCCTGCCTTTTCCACGCTCCTCAGCCATCCTCCTCAAAGAAGACAATTCATCGAACTCTGCGACGGCCTTCTCGGAGAGGTTCATTTGCCACTCCTTGGGGGACACCGCACAGTCCCAGAAGCCCCGGGCATGGAATAACTTCAACCCCGTATCCAGCTGCGTGCAACCCTCCTTGCAGAGGTGGACCTTGACCAACCGATCTTCGCCTCCACCAAAGGTCTCCATCACGCTCTCGGTCTGGGTACCTGTCAGGATGAAATCCATCCGCTCCTCCGCTGGGTGAAGGGCCCGCACTCGCCCTGCCACATGCACGGAGGCATTGTAGTATGAAGCCCTGTCCAACTCGATCACGTCCAGAGCTCCCAATCTTTCAAGCGTCAGGTCGTTCCATGAGTGAAGCTTCTCCACTGGGAGGTCCCCCTCCCCTTCCGCGGCAGGTCTGTGGCGAGGTCGGGCGCGAGGAACTGATGAAGCCGGTCGTCTCATCTTGGGAGCCATTGTCTCCCTTACCACTTGTACCGGCCTCCGCGGCCGTATGACTTCCTCTCCTGAAGCTCCTGCTTCGCTCTCTTTGTGATTCCTTTGTTGGTCCCTTGAGTCCAACGAGGATGGTTCGAGTAGGGTACTCTACCCCTCCAACCACTTCCCTGCGATTTTCCTTTGCTTCCTCCCTTAGATCCTGATGATCTTCCTGGTGGAGGTCGTTCAGGTGTATGAGGTGATCTGGGCTGCCTCTGCGTAGGTCTCGGCCTCAGATGTGGCTCTCTCTCTATTGCAGGCTCCTTCACGATCTGTGGCTTCCTCCTTTGCTTTAAAGCTCCGCTTCTTGGGAGACGCGTCTCCCTTCTTCTCCTCTTCAACCTGGCCCTCGCTGGGAGCAGATTCTCCCTTTTCTGGACTGTCCTCAGGTAGTAGTCGGCCGATGGAGTAGAACGCCGAGTCCAGTATCTTGGTAACTTTTGCCTGGGCTTCCTGAGTCGGCGGAAGACGAGGGCCAGTGGCGGCAGCTACCAACCGCAAAGCTGAAGTGCACACGGAGCACGAACCTGCAAGGAGCGACCACTTCTTGCAGGATGAGCAAACAGGCATCCCCTTCGAGCCCAATGCTACGGTGAAAAGGCGGAAAGTGTTGTGTTTACTCATGTGGCGGCCATAAGAACATATATATATATATCTACCGAAGCCCCACTAGCTAGGCCGTCGGCAGGGAAACTGCGAAGCGCGCCAAGTGCTGCGGCAGGTCACCATAGCCTTCAAGCCTTGGTTCAATTTTAAGATTCCTCCAAGTGCATTCCCGAAACTATGGGGTCAGTTCGCGGTACGTGCATACATTGCTGACCCTTTTGTTGTTGGACAGGGCCTTTGCCAGTTGGCAAATGCCACACGAAGAGCAGGTGGGTCAGACCCTGTATGTGATTGAGAACCCAGAAGGCAAGACACGTTTCAGTCAAGCTCTTTCAACACAAATACATCGTGCATCGTAGCAAGCACTGGATAAATCCACAACGGTCCTAGCAAGCAAAGGCCCACTCCATTTGTTCACGTTCTCTGTGGTCAAATCCCCGTAGTACCTCCGCAAGACTTTACGGGCACCTGTCTGCGCTCTAGCAGCACTTCGTTGAAACTGATCAAAACATGACTGGAGAGCTGTCAGTTCGGTCACTTGTCCAGCTTGTTCCTGATGAGAATCGTGCGCTTATATGTTGGATCCACCTGCTTTGCTTTGCCCAAAGTGGCAAAACCTGACAAAGCAGAAGTGTTAACTAGTAACAAGGTGCATCGCTACTAGTTGCACCCGTCTTTTCATGTCTGTATTTTTTTTCAAAGCCACCCATCAGGCTCTTTTCCTGAAGTCATGTTGCCTGCGGCGTCTCCAGCTTCTTCTACACAAAGCATGATGTTGTTTTCATCATTCCTTAAATCGGCAATTCTTCAAGCGTTCAGCAACTAGCGCTTGGGGCCTGAGAGCCCGGCATGAATTTGAAGACTAAGCTGTCTATCTTTTTCGCGAGCTGCTGCATCGCATCATCCTTAGCATATGACCTGGCAGCACATGATGCATGAGTCCTGCGTGAGCATCGGAAGCATCTCAGAACACCCCCCACCTGAAACCTGGAAGGTCTACCAAGCCCAAGTCAGTGCAGTCTTCACCTGAAAATCTTCAGGCAGCACACATCAAACCGCCAGTGGCAAGCCCTGTCCGAATCCGCCTAAAGAGTCTGCGGCGAGGCTAGTGACTTTTGAAGAATCCTGCCTTCCACTTTCACTCTGATGGGCATCTCGCTCACATTTTGCCCACAAGCCTCAGCTTTCCGAACCAAACCCCGCAAACCCCACATGTTGCCAACAAGGCAAAGGCCTCGTGGGCACTGCCGACGATCTGCATAACCTCTTGCACTGGGTAGGAATCCCATCTCTTCAGGCTCTCGTCAAAAACAGACCACCTCAGGAAGCTTCTCAAGCTCTCTTCAGATCTCAGGGTAAGGGCTTCCTGGGCCCTTTAATAAAGGTGCCTTGTTAAAGGAATCTTACCTTCTTTTTGTCTTCTCCCTGTTGGCTCTTTCGGCATGGCAATGTCTTTGTGTTGCTCTTTATTTATGTTCCTCTTCGTGGTACCGACTCAGATTGCCTAGCCTCGATGGGCTCAGTCCGGGGACATTGCGGAACTCCAGCACTGTTGGCCGCCTGCAGAATCATGGGGAATCAGGAAAGAGTGAAGAAAAGTGAAGTCATGGCCAAAGACAGGCGTTCCTGTTTCCTGTAGGATCCGTTATATACATCTGTGTATACACGTCATACATGTACATATACATTATGATATTATATATATATACATATATATTATATGTACATCTGAGCGTCTGCTAAAAGGTCTTGCAACGAAAAGAACATGATTCAACAAAGTTGTCGCTTGTGGGGAGACCTAGCCTTTTCAGGCCCCAGCCACACTGTCAACACAGCTGAACATATCAAAAGACGCGGCAACATAGTTATCGCTTTGAAGGGGGCTATTGCTCTTTTAGGGTTTTAGCCAAGTTCCTGAAATTTACACAACCCTTCTTTACTAAATTGGTCATCGCCGAGTCATCGCACGTTTTGGTAGTTGCTCATATGTCACAGTGACCCCCATTAGCTGAAGTGAGCCCAGTAGAAATCGGCGTGGCCAAGAAAGTCGAGGCGAAGAGGCGGAGTCCATGTTTCTTGGTCCAGCGTCATCCTCCCGATTGGTACGCCTCGATCCCAGAGTGCCAGAGACAAAGTTGAAGGTCTCACCAGCCAACGCCTCAGGTTGAAAGATCAGCAATGTGTAGGCTGTGCACTTCAAAGGATCCAAACAAAGGAAAAATTGAAAAAAATAAAAGTTGGAAAAAGCAAGTCTTCCTCGTAAACTTGAAAGCACTCTTCAAGGTGCGAATATGTTTGTGCTCAGCAGGAAGAAGGCTTGACTCAAAGGACAATGTAAAATGCTGAAAAGTCCAAACATCAGCCAGCTTGCCTCAATAAGCCGTGACTTTCCAACACTCTGCTTCCCAATCACGATGAATTGCGGGATGGGGAAGCTAAGGCTATCAACCTGCTGCTGGTCTTTCAACGTGAACCCAATCATGTTCCACCTTCACATAAAAGGCAGCATCTTGGCCTTTCCATCCAGTCTTGCTTTGACTTCGCAGATCAAGTTCAGCAAGTGCTTTTTCCTGACTGGCTTGCAGTCCAGGGTTTAGGGGTGTCAAATGACATGCACAAAAAGTGGCTTCGAGTGTTTTTTGGCCAAGCCAGCCTACATTCTGCTGCATCCTCGACCTAAGCTACTGTCAAGAACTATTTCTGCCATTGGCTACCCGCAACAGCTACCGTCACTGACTTCTTCTCTGATGGCTCACCGAGCCTTTCAGCTGAAAAATTGAAACGCAAACGGGCAACAGCCATGGTAGCAGAGTCCTACCACTGTTTCACTGCTCAAGCTGAGCCAACGTTGCATGCATGGCCCTCGGGCGGTGGCACGCATCGAAGGCAAAAACAAGTTCCTTGTGAGTGACACACACTATTCCTCTGTATGTGTATGTGTATACATACTTTGGAAACAGTATGAAGTTGTTGCGCAGCTTTTTCCGGCAAGGAAACAAGTCGACTGATGCATTTGCAGTCCTTAGCCAAGGACGAGTGTCAGCTGGAACCAGCGCTAAACCCACAACTACACGCATCTCTCAAGGCAACTGCAGCTTGATTCTCCCAGTAACTTACACAACGGTGCTCAACATAAAGGGTCAACTCGCAGCCCACAGAAAGAGCAAAAAAGCTTGCGAATTGCAACCACAGCTCACTGCTCCTCGCATTGAACATGCTCGTGCAGGTCAAGCATTGATCCCTCCGCACTGCCTCCACGTGGTGTCCAGTCATGTACAGAACATCGTCATCAGAGAGATTCAATCTTCAAGACATAATCACCATCAAAATCTCAGGGCTCGGATCATAGAAGTAACAAAAGCCAGCAAGCAGGTAGAATACCAAAAAGCCAAAACGTTGCATCAATGTTTTTCATTTCAACAGTCAGTTGGCCTTGTAACGACTCCCGAAGCTTGCAAAGCCTTGTGGGTCAACTGCAAAGCGTGGCTCAATCACAAGTGCACAGCACAATCAGAATCGTGTTGTTCCTACTGTTCCCAAAAACTGCCAGCACACCTATGCCCTCATGGATATCTGTAAAATCAATGGTTTCCAGATAGTTTGTTGCTGAAAACTCAGCAGCAATCGAAGGGTAAACGTGCAAACGGTCCAGCAGCTCAAATTCTGCGTAGGGGCTCAGCAGCTCGCTGGTCTTGAGCCGCCCGCACCTGGCCACGGTCGAAAGCTGTTGTCAAATCATGAGGCCAACGACAACTGTACCACATTTATATATACATATGGGGGGAAGCTGCGGGACCGTGGTACACAAAAGAGGCCTTGCATAAAATGAAATGCCTGTCCTGATGTCGGTTGTGCTTTATGAGACCAAATGATGAGATGATTGCAAAATGATGATATAAAATATTTACATTTTGTGCATATGGTACCACCCAAAGCTCATCTGTCCTGTCAAGCATTGTGTTTTGGAAGCCAAAAAGACCAGTATAAATGGACACTTTTTTGATACCTTTATGGAGGGGTGGTACTTAATTCGTACATACCTACATACCTACTTACCTACCCACCCACCTACCTACTTAGCTACCTACATACATACATACATACCATACCATACCATTACATTACATTACATTACATTACATTACTGTACATATATGTACATATATACTTACCGCATATGTATATGGTGTGGTGGCATGATGTTTTGAAGTCATCTGGCATATGGTGTTGTGTACAGTACATTGTTTAATATTGATGTGAACTTAGGAGTATTGGGAGGTGGACAAAAACTAGTTCGAACCAGTTCAGGCCTGGAATCACGAACAAGATTCCCCTGAAACTTTCCTCGTGGCGTTATTTACCTTGAAGATATTAAAGGTCTTGCTAATGTTTGTTTATATGGTGATCAGCATGGTACTGTTACTTCTATCTCTGCCGCATCAATGAAACAAAAATTCAAAGTAAAACATTGATGACATTAGCGTATGCAATTATCAGTGGTGCAGCAGCTGGGGGGTTGGCATGTCTGAAGCTTCTACAGTACTTGATGTGGCTATGAAATTGAACAGCTGTAAAATATTCTACAGCCAAGGCATTATGTCTTAACATCGTATTGATGAAGCTATTCCTACCAAAAACCCTAATACAAACACAACTGTTGCCAATCATACATGTGTGTGTGTGCGCAAATTGGCTTCCAAAATGTCTTTTCCCAAAATGGTGCACTCATCGCAACTCCATGGGGGCCCGCTTCTTCTTTAAGCTCCAACCACACTCAAACCACAGGGATGTTAAACATGAAGGCATGTGAGAGGTGTCTAGCGCGGACCTTTTCAGGGGCCTGTTGAGCTGCTGGAGCTGTTGTTGTTGCTGCTACTGCTGCTGCTAGACCTCTGCAGTTGTTCTCAGAAATCTTCAGAACGACATAGGAAGGGCGTAGGGGCTGACTCAAAAGGTTTGGGCGTTGGATGGGCAAACGGTCAAGAAATGGACCGTCGTCTAGCGCGGTGCTAGCGCGGATCTAGCGCCAGCCTAGCGCAAAAATATCCCTCGATTTCTTTATCCTGCAAGATTCTTATTTTTTCCTGCTTGCTTGTCTTCTTCTTCCTCCTCTTCTTCTTCTTTTTCTTCGTCTTCTTCGTCGTCTTCTTCTTCTTCTTCTTGTGCGTTTTTCCTTTGTTTGTCTTGCTTCTTCTTTTTTCCTGCTCTCTGCTTGGTTCTTCTTTTTCCTGCTGCTTATCCTGTTATGAAAAAAAACCTGCGCCAACCTAGCGGTGCCTTGCTGTATCACCATAGTCTGCTGGGGGCGCGCTTCTAAACGAAGACTTAAAAACACCTCTCCAACTTTATATATATATAAGTTTATGTTTATCTATATTTTTTGAGTAGGGTTTTTTGAGCGCAGTCCAGTGGTTATGGTGACACTCAATGGTAAAGTCTAGTCTATAGCTACAAATCCAACAGTCTTTGCTAAAGTTGGCGGAATACCTGAGATCTTTCTTGATGATAAATATCAAGTGAGACAAAATGTAGTAGTTGCTATTGGGAGATGAGATTGTCAAAATCAAATGAATAGAATAATCTATATCATAGGTCATCCCTGCAATTCTAGAGGTTTGCGGGATGCAAGGACAAGGGCTAAAAAATTACATCGCTTTGAAGCGCGCGAAGAGCTTCAGAGCCAAGCAAATCACTGACTGGCTGGCTGGCTGGCTGACTGGCTGACTGGCTGACTGCCTGCCTGCCTGACTGACTGACTGGTAAGCTTGAGTCAGCCCCAGATTCGAGTGATCAGTATTAAAAATATGAAAACCAGTGTTGTAAGAACCATTATGGAAGTTTCCAAATTGGATGTCTGACGTGTCTGATATAGCAATAACGGCACATAACAGGCAAGATATTGTGCACATTGGTAAAGACTATGTCGTACCTAGTCCTTTTGATCCTAGACTCTTGACGGCAACACCAAAAGCTGCCGGGGGTCTGTCTGATTTGCAATCGCTTTCTATACTTGAGCTAAGGTCAGTACATGACGAGATTTTGTCCATGTCACGCGCCCTAGTTAGCTGGCTTGTTTAAGCTCATATCCCTTGTATTGCAGCAATTTGTACTATATAATATCTATGGAGGTGTCAACTTATCAAAGAGAATCAGTCTTCAGTCGTATTGCTCTTTGTGCCTCTCAAAAGGTAGACTCTGGGCAGTATCTAACTCTCTTGGCCCACAACTACGGTTGAGCAGCGTGCAGTGCATTCCTGACCTAAAATCCAGTTTCTGAAGTGGTCTCCAACGGAACTTGTGCACGCAGTATGAAAACTATATCTCAAAAAAGCTCTTACCTCATCCCACTTCTCCCTTGGCCCATCCCATGGCAAAAGATAGTGTTCAAAGGAATTTCTTGCCTCTCTGAAGCTCTCCAGGCAGCCTTCGCTGCAAAAGACCCTGCAAAGCAGCGCGCATCATCAGAACGTATGCAAAAGAATCACATAGTACTAACCGCATGCATAATTTGCATAACAATAAAACAGACTGCAAATCAGGTCACACATAGTACTCCATTGCATGCAGAAGCGTAGGCGTACTGACACAAATTAGCCCGGGCTGCAAAACTTTGTGCTGCAACCCCCAAACATTTGAGACAACAAAACCAACCTGCACAAAAATACCGTTTCTCTTTCAGCAATACTCCCAAAAGCAAGTCCACAACAAACAACCGAAAGAAAAGCATTGCCGGGGAATGACAGTAGTGACAGTCATGGGCGCTACAAGCAAGACAAACAATCCAAACTTTGGTTTCGTCTCGAGGCATCGACATAGGTCAAGGGTTAGGTTTTCGTACAGGTTTGAGTAAGCATGACAAACTAAACAAACCAAAGCATAATTGCCCCTAAGAACCTAGAAACTGTGTTGGCCATGCGAGTGGTTCTTCACGGGTTTCTCCCGCCCTCCAGTTTCAACGAAACTTCATACTTAGCTGCCCCCTCTTCATGGCCTGACCCCGCAAGATTAAGTATAAAAACAAACATTGTATGCACCGGTTCAAACATAAGATTGGATTGCAAAAAACTAAACGCGTTGAAGTCAAAGCTGAGGTCCGGCCTGGAACCAGGTGTTCCTGGCCGCAAGGCCTGAGGCGCGGAAAGGGCCCCGCAGATATGAGATTGTGATGGGATTGTGTGATAACTGTTGCTTTTCAAAGACAAAATTCACGTTTTTTTGTAAATCTAAATAGATGTTAATAAATTCTACCAGAAGTCAATCATACCACCATAAAACGGGAACTTGACAATTCCAAGCAATGACAAGGCGCAATGTGTCTCTCTTGCATATTTGTTGGCTCTTCTCAACAGGCATACATAGGCACATGCACGCATACATACATACCTATCTACCTACTTACATACAGACAGACGGACGGACAGACCGAACTTGAATGCCACATGTGCCACACGCCCACCCAGCTATGAACGCCAAAGAGGTCAGGTTAAAGGTAAGCAACCGGGTTGACCATGAACCTGAAAGTCAAGTTCCAAAGTCACGAACTCGAGGAAGTCGACAAGAATTCGAGCGGCGAGCACTTGTCTGCAGAACTCAAAACAAGTGCAAAGGCTGGCGATCTTGTTGTAGTTAGAACGGGGCCCAGAAGGAAGTGAGTGGTGCTAACTGCAGGTACGTCAGGCTGATCAGGCCAGATATCAGCACGGAGCTTGACCCTAGCCGTTGCATCACCAATCAAGTCCGTGGGTGATCCCCCTGCAACTCCTTCAACGCAATCAAAGCGTTCCGTGTGACCTGAAAGGTTCTCACACACACGCCTCCCACTAGGGGCGGCAAAGAAACTATTTGACTCCAAGGGTTTCACACACACGCGCCCCCCCAAGCGTGGGGGGGCCACAAACTAAGGGGCAGACTGGGGCACATGCGCACGCACAAAGGACAAGAAGATGAAGACATGAAAAGGGACACGACAGGACAAAAGTGTGCGTGGCTGCGATGAAGGGGAAACAATATAATCAACAGGGACAAACGTGAAACGCACCTCGTTGTCAAGACTTGGGCGACCTGAAAACTGTTGAAAGTAGATGCGCGCGTACATGTTAAGAGCCGGACCAATGCGCGCGCAAAAGAAGGAAAGGAATGAGAAGGCGGGACACGAAGCCGGAAAATACATGAAAAAAGAAGGGAAGAAAGTGTGTGTGAAGGGGAAAGGATGAAAAGGGAACCACTGGAGGGGCCAGAAACGGACGGACCCGAACCTCATTAGAACGGACCTAGGTCAACCTGTACGCTGTGTGTGCACTTAAGGCGGCGACAGGCCCCAATGGACCTAAAAGAGCTCTGGCCGCTGCGGCCACCTTGCGCCATGCCAAAATGGCGGGCGACTTGAGTCCGCTGTGGACACGTTATGGCTTGCCCGGATACTCATTTTCATGTATATAATTCGGCAAGTCTTAAATTGGCGCTTGGCATAAGCCTCCTGCTGTCCGCTGTGGGCACCTCTTTCCCGGGCAGGGGGAAAATAGATAAACCCTTGCGCAGCAAGGCCAGGTATGAACGCCAAAGAGGTCAGGTTAAAGGTATGTAAACGGTTTGACCATGAGCCCAAAAGTCTTCAAATTCCAAAGTCACGAACTCGAGGAAGTCGACAAGAATTCGAGCCGCGAGCAGTGGCACGGCGCTACAAGCGTTTCGTACGAGACGTCCTCCAAAAGTCCCGCGCGCAGTCTCCAAAACGAGCGTTTCGTACGAAACGTCCTCCAAAAGTCACGCTTCGAGTCTGCGAGACAAGCGTTTCGTCCGAGACTTCCTCCAACAGTCACACGTCAAGTCACTTGTCTGCAGAACTCAAAACAAGTGCAAAGGCTGGCGATCTTGTTGTAGTTAGAACGGGGCCCAGAAGGAAGTGAGTGGTGATCACTGCAGGTACGTCAGGCTGATCAGGCCAGATATCAGCACGGAGCTTGACCGTCTTCGTTGGGTCACCAGCCAAGTCCGTGGGTGATCCCCCTGCAATAACTTCAACGCAATCAAAACTTCAAGGGTTTCACGCGCACAGACAAACACTCAACCATGTGCGCGTGTCACTTCGATCGCCTTGGCAATATTTTCGACCACTGCGTCTCAAAGACCAGTTCCGATCAACGTGAAACATTGTGTGTATCGCTTTGCCTGGCACAGTTCTTCAACGCCATGTATCTACCTGCCCCTGTTGTTTTGATCAAGGAAGTTTCTCCATGGCCTGCTATTCCCTCTCCTTGCCGATAGATTCGGTGGAGTTTCCGGGGTGGTTAAAATTTGAAACAAGTGGGCAGCTCGAGTTGAGTCTTACGGGCTCTCACCGCGACGATGATTCTTCGTCACTTTGCTCGCACTGATACTACATAGCGAAACCTTCTGCGCATTGTTCTTTCAATCAATGCACAATTGTTCAATGCTATGGTGCATCTACCTGCCCCCTTGTTTCTATCTATCAAGGGAGTATTCTCCATGGCCTCCTATTCCTTTTTGCTCTGATCCTCAGAATTGGGAGCTTCCTGCCTCCCATCCTCCAATGATGATATCCTGACCAGCTGTAGAAGACGTCGAGTCCAGTGGACTCTTCTCCAGCGGCTCCATGCCTCGGGGCTTCTTTGGAGTTCGATGTCTTAACCCCCTCCTCGGCCACCTCCGCCAGGAAGGAACCTCATCCTTGAGCACCTCTCCGCTGGGTTGCCAGGCCATTCTCCAAAGAATATTTCTCTGACTTAGCCCTAGCCGCGTCGATCATGAAGCGCACCAATACACTGCCTCTTTGCTGCGCCCAAGTGACAGCCATGGAAACCCGAACAGGTATTCCCATGGAATCATGCCCTGGACCATGCTGTGCGTGGTGGAGGTGGAGTGACCAACACGACGATGCCCGCTCGGCTCTTTTAGCCAACTCCCAAAGTAGCAGGTCGGAGATGGCCTATTAAGCTTACCCAAGCCTTGTCGGCTGCCGTGCCCTCCCTTAGCCACAACATTTGCATCTCCCTCTGTTCTCTGGACAAAGCTAAACCAGGCAAGATGTGTCTGACACTGATGGCCCCAGTGATATGCACGTGACCCCGCGCGAGATCTTGCCTCATTCGACAGGCGGAAGGCAGTGGAAAGGAAGACTTTTCGGTAGCACTGGTAGCAGCAGCCCTGCACAAGCCATGGCCATGTTTATTCACAAGGATCAAGGAGGATACATCAGCACATTAGTGCAGCTACCACAAGCAACTTAGACCAAATGTTGCAAGAAATGCGATGTTGTTACTGTACCCGCCTTCTCGCCACTGCTTGACGAGGAAGCAGGGCGAGAAGAACTCGCATGATGGACCTGGCAGGCTTAGCTTGTCCGGCTTGGGCACCCATCCCCAACAGTCTCGCAGCCTTGCCGGACGAATGAAATGGCAGGTGCTCCATCACCACTTCCTTCCACCCAGGCATGATGGCATGAAAAAAAGACTTGAAACAAGCGGCACATTGCGTTTGCCTTAAGAAGGGTGCCGCAGATTTCAAAAACCTACGTCAACGTCGACACCTCGGCCATTGTCTTCATGGCCATGGTTGGAATGGTGACGTCATTGATGCTAGGAGCCTGCGCAGGGAAAAGCATCAGTTCCAAGAGATACATCCGGCTTGCCAACCAACTTCAGAAATGTACCTCCAAAATTCACTTCCGCAAAATGTGTTGAAAGCTTTGAAGCTTCGACCAGCTTCGACTAGCTTCAACATATCCAGGTCCAGTGCCTCGACGGCCCTTATTGGGCTATCATCTCCCACTGCCGCATCGGCATGGGAGACAGGCTCTGACCCTTGGGCAATCTAAAACATATTCAAGCGACCGTCCGACCCATGCCTGAAAAATAAAGCAATTTGTATAAGTTCAGCCACCACTCTTGCAAGTATTGTTGCAGATCAGCTGCGGGTTACCACCAATCGGCTGCGTTCGCCTGTGGGCCGTTGATGCCAGCCCGCTGGCATGCGCCTAAGACTGTGGGAGAGTGGGCGTTTAAAAATGCATGGTGAACCCTGAAATCAAGTTTGCATCATGTGCCATCTAATCTCTGCCTGTTAGGAATTGTCAGAGTCTCTTTCAATTTCAATCCACAAGTGGTTCTGGGCTGATCTGCGGTTTTTCCTTGAAAGGGGGTCTGATGGTCGAGTCCAAGGGTCGGGTGAATTGTCGAAGCAGACCAATCCCAAATAAAAGCATTTGCACGCATATGAAAAGCAGTTGACAGCATGAGTCCCACGCCCCAAACGCCCCCAATTGACAATGCTGGGAGAGTTGTGAGGCTCGTCACCTGTCAGTGCTGAGTGATTGTTAATGATGACTTGTGTGGCCAACCCGACAGCTTTCGAAGTGCGTGGTATTGCGGCCGGTGGTATGACGAGCAAGGCATCAACGGACTCAACTGCCTATTCATTTTATCCCCACCTTGCTCTGGAGAATCCAACTCCACCTGAGGTCGAACTTGCAACAAATTTGCCCACACCCTTGTTTGTTCCAGCACTTTCACGAGTTGCACTTCAATGCAAGAAGCGACAATCTCCACAGTGTTTCAAGGACCCCATTGAAACTAGCACCGCAAATCCGCCCGCACCGGAGGTGCCGAGGGCGTTGCGTAGGCTCGTGTAAGTCGCAAGGAGTCCGGCTAGATAAATCCTAAGCTTTAGCTTTGGGGGGGGGCACTTTTCTCCTAGAAATGCTGTGCTTTTCAATGTTTTTTGAAAATCGACCAAAATTGGACCAGACGTTGGCGATGCCGGTTATGCCGGTCGGGACAGATCGCATTATTGACATCGCAGACGTCTCGGCAAGCCAAGGGGCACTGCACTATGGATATGCGATGCCGGTTATGCCTGGACATCGCAGAAATCGCAAACGTCTAGGCAAGGGACACTGTACGATTGATATCGTGGATGTGTTCGGTGTGCCCAGTCCGACTGGATGAGGTGAATGTATTGAGCATGTGGCCTTTGATGTTTTTTGGTGGAAACAATCGCATGGGGTTTTTGACACAGAGACAGAGACAGACAGACAGACCCAGACAGACCCAGACAGACCCAGACAGACCAGACCCAGACAGACCCAGACAGATCTACAGACAGACACAGAGAGACAGACCAGCCAGCCAGCCAGCCAGCCAGCCACCCAGCCAGCCAGCCAGGCAGGCAGGCAGGCAGGCAGGCAGACAGACAGACAGACAGACAGACACCCAGACCGACCGAGACAGACTATTGACATCGTGCGTGTGTTCTTCCGCGTGTCCTGCCCGAACAAGACAGGCAGACAGACCGAGACAAACAGACGCACACACTCCGCGCGGGCGGCTTCGAGCGCGAAGCGCTGTGAATATAACACATATATAACCTCAGAAGGGAGGGGACGAAAGCCAGCCTCTGTCAGAAGACGTCAATGTGTTTATGGGGTGAATTCGACAGCGCACCGGAACCGCTGTCAGGCATTGAGGGACGATATGACAGGCTCTGTTTACACAAGGTTTCAATCAAGGCCCTTCAGCGGTATAAGATAGAAGTGGAGCCGATGCGTCAGGAAAATAAATACATTGAGCGATGGCCAAGCACCTTTCCATTACAAACATAGGGGCTTGTCCACTTGCGTCCTCACTTTCGTGGGCAGGATTGCATCTATAGTTTTTTTTAGATCTTTTGCGAGAGCTCAATCAACGTTGAGGCTTGAGAAGCTCTTTGATGATCTTTGTCCGCTGTCTTCTGCCCTCTCCTGCCTCTGCAACTCCCGATTGCAGTCGGCTCCGTGATTTGCAGTGATCACTCACCTGTTTCTGGCCACTTGTGCTTCGCACCCGCGGCATGAAGCGGAAGAAATGAAATGACCGACCGGGTTGAATGGAGAAATGAAGTGACGGACAGAGGTTTAACAAAGAAGTCAACTGACGGACCGGTTTGGGTAGAGAAATGAAATGACGGACCGGGTCATGACGGGCCGGGTCTAACAGAGAAATGAAGTGACGGACCGGGTGTAATGGATGGATATTTTCCGGTTTTTCAAACTTTTCCGGGAATGTGTTTCATGTTTTTTCCCCTACTGTTTTTCTTTTTGCTTCTGCTGGGAGTGCTTTACAAGCACTACGACCAGCAGAAAGGGCAGGGGACGAAGCACCAAAGCCAGCGTGACAGAGACAAAGGGAGGGAATAGAAAAGGTACGGGCCGCGACTTAATTTTGCATTTTTCTGTTTCTTTTTTTGTTTTTCGTGTTTCGTGGCAGGCGCAGTACTTTGCGGACCTTGCAAAGCACATTTCGTGGCAGGTGCAGGACTTTGTGGATGTGGAAGTGCAGAGTTGGTGGCAGG